AGGCCGGGATCGAAATGGATCGCGCGCGGTGACACGGATTATACTAAACGCGATAAATAAACAATTCGATCGGTCGATCGTTGCTCGATGTTTGCGTAACGAGAATTGCGGCCCGGTAACAATCGGAACACACCCTGAACCGTGTTACGTCAACGCCAGTTGTCATTTAGACGTTAACCATTGTCCACGCGATGCATTGCGACGAGCGGAACGATTTTCGATTAAGCGAATCGATCGCGACCGATCTCGTGGAATTTCGCTTTGGCTGGGCTTCGCGTAGCATAGTATTTTATATTATGGTTAGTCGTTACGTGCCTCGTATCTGATAATTTTATAATATTATAGTTGGACAAAGGAAAATTTGGTAATTCGGTAATTTAATAATTTCGTTGATTTATTAGATTTTTTATATTATGTTTATTCGTTATGAGTTTCGTATTTTATAATTTTATAAATTTATTATTTTATAGTTCTACAAAAGAAAATTTGGTAATTAGGTAATTTAATAATTTCGTTGATTTATTAGATTTTTTGCATTATGCTTATTCGTTACGAGCATCCTATTTCAGAATTTTAGAATTTTATTATTTTATTGTTCTACAAAGGAAAATTTGGTAATTCGGTAATTTAATAATTTCGTCGATTTACTAGACTTTTTATATTAGGGTTATTCCTTACGAACTCCGTATTTTATAATTTTATTATTTTATAGTTCTACAAAAGAAAATTTGGTAATTCGGTAATTTAATAATTTGGTTGATTTATTAAATTTTTTATATTATGTTTATTCGTTACGAGCCTCGTATTTTATAATTTTATAATTTTACAATATTACAATTGCAGAAAAGAAAATTTGGTAATTCGGTAATTTAATAATTTCGTTGATTTATTAGATCTTTTATATTATACTTATTTGTTACGAGCCTCCTATTTTATAATTTTATAATTTTACAATATTATAATTGTACAAAAGAAAATATGGTAATTCGGTAATTTAATCATTTTGCTGATTTATTAGATCTTCTATATTATACTTATTTGTTACGAGCCTCCTATTTTATAATTTTATAACTCTATAATTTTATAATGGTACAAAAGAAAATTTGATAATTCGGTAATTTAATAATTTCGTTGATTTATTAGATATTTATATTATATTTATTCGTTACGAACCCCGTATTTCATAATTTTATAATTTTATAGTTCTACAAAAGAAAATTTGGTACTTCGGTAATTTAATAATTTCGTTGATTTATTAGAATTTTTATAATTTCTTATTTAAATTCGAGCTTAAAATTCAATGGTAATAACTAAATATCGAGTGGATAGTATTATAAATACATAAATATTTAATTATAGTTAATTGCATTTGATTTTTAATTTGCACTGCTCCCCCTAGTCGGATATTAGTTTTAGAAAGTTGGAACAGTTTGTACGTGGAATATTCATTAAACAATTATTGTTCCCCTCAGATCTGGTATCTACTTTCGAAGCAGATGCTGCTTTTTATTGCGGAATTAAAATATCTTTCGCGGCGTGACGCGTATCGCCTTTTATACACATATTATCGAGAACGGAATCGAGACCAAGAACAGAGAAAATGATTTCAGCCTCTTTAGCCTAGTTTCCACTGAGCTAGAAAACGAAAAGGACACGAGTCGAATATCCAACAAATTTTACAACACGTTCTAACATACGTGTCACGCATCAAACTTCCCTCCTTTATACCAATTTTTCAAAAATTAAATATCCTCCCTTCGAGTACCTCGAAGAACTTCAACCCCATCTCGATTCAACCCTTCGGGCTTTAAAATTAACAAAACCATGGGATTTTACCTGCCAATCAGATACCATAAACGATTAACAAGAAAATTATTCATGTCGACAAGAGACACCTAATTTTCGCCCCTATAAAATACCCCTAACCTCCACCGACCTATAAAATTCACCGACGAATCTTATCACGATCGTTCAACTTCCGGAAGAAAGAGAAAGAAAATTAAAAAAGGCAAAAATAATATTTTCTTACACCAATCGGAGATCTTATTACCACGGATAAGGAATCGGTAACGCATCGAGGAATATGAAAGTCCCCCCGGTGTTATCTTCGAGGCTGCATCGCACTTTTGTTTCCATCCTGGACATTTCGCGTCGTTTTGCAAGGTCTGTCGACGATAAATTCAACGTCGGATCCAGCGGCCGATTCTCGGGCATTAAAATTTTTGCCAGGGTAATCGAGGGAACGTGTCGCGATAAGGTGCAATACGGAAAAACCCGAGTGGCGAATATTCCCACTGGTAAACTACTAACGAAGAGCAAAGAGGGAAAAATAAAGGAAAGGGACGCGCTGATTAATAATCCCGATACGTGTTCCGCGTGTATAAATTTCAACGGGGTACACGCGAGCAGTTAAAACTGCGCGGCTCGAAGTGGCGCGAGGTATCACCGATAAATATACGTGATTGTTATGTGACGTTTATTAAGGATATCGATAGCTGCGCGTAATTAACGGCGAGTTTAAGGAGCGTAAAGTACACCGGGGAGCCCTCGCCGTTCTTCACGTGCCGCATCAGCCGCGCGAGTATTCCGTACCCCAACGATCGCTGGCTTTTTAGAGTACCGGTGTTTCATGAGTTGTCAATGCACTTGCATTTACCGAGCCTTTCATTCACTCGAGGGTTTCATCGTAAAAGCCACGAGGAAAACCCGAATTTTATTTCCATCACCTTAGACCCCCCTTTTCGCGAAATTATTTCGGTACGTAAATTTGTAACTTTTATTTTATTGAAATAAAGCGGAGGAATTTTGAATTCCATTTTCAGAAAATTTCCAGTATGAAAATGCGAATATTTATTAATATACTTTACCTCTTGGTTTCGTGGGAATTTTGAAATTTTGTTGGGGTACCGCGATATTTTAAATATAAAATGTATACCGCGTAATTTGTATTTTTATTCCGATAAATTCCCACCTTTCCTGGAAAATAATCGACTATATTCAGTGTTATTTTCGAAGTTAATAATGGAGGGTACGAATATCCTACTCGCGAATTTAAGATCTCAAAAATCTTTTAAACTCTATTACAAAAGGTATCTATAATACGCGACGATCGATTATAAATTGGAGTACGAATATTCTCATCCAGTTCCCTCCGTAATATATAATTTCAATTTCGAAATAAATTCTCGTTCCATAGTAAATTCGTGATAAATCTCGTATCTTAAATTTGAAAAGACAACACGATCCTCGTTCTCGTAAAATTGTATAAAATTTTGCAAATTCGTATCCCGAAAGACGCGAATAACTTCCGTGGCTGGCTTCGCCTGTTATACTTAATCGGAATGGCGATTTGCGGGGGTCCTCGCGCGGTACGATTACTATCGAGGTAAAAGTGCTGCAACCAGGGCCTTCCGAGGTCGAGAATGGGAGACGCAGGTACACGAGTACGTCGTTCTACGTACACACAATGTTCTACTTTTTCGGAACCGTGACATCTTTATGACACGAGGCAGCTGCATTTTAATACCGGCGACGCGAGAAATTTGGGACGTTGATTTTTATCGATCAATCGGGGATGGGGTTCTGCTTACACGTCCTTGAGCTTTGGTCTTGGAAAACACATCGAATTGAAGTAATCGAGGATAAAAATATTTTCAGTCATAACCGCGAATAATTTGCAAATGTATAAATTAAGGTATAACTAAGGTATAGAGAAAAATATTTTCAGTTGCAACCGCGAATAATTTGCAAATGTATAAATTAAGGTATAACTAAGGTATTCGCAATTTGTTTTTTCTTCTCCTTCCCTCTCCCCCTCTCTCTCTCTCTCTCCTATTAATTATTTTCCAATCGATCTAGCCGCTTGTTATCGTTTATTAAACGCTGTAAAATGACTGGAAGATTAAATGGAATTACGAAATCGAGACTTACGAGGACTCAACTATTCTGTGCTTTTTGCTTTAAGCATCGGGGTAATTAGGCGAAATTAGTTCGAAGTCGGTTGGGCCCGAGAGGGAGTAGATATTAAACGAATCGCATTCGCGTTATGCAACGAGATAAATTACGAATCTTATCTCTTCTTTAACGCTCCTTTTTCTCTCCTTTCGATAATATCCCGACGAGATACGATTCAGGAACATCGTCGAGAGCAACTTTAAATCGTGCAACACGCTTTATGGGTTAAACACACAATCAGCAGCCCGTTACATCGAAAATAATTCGCCGATTCCTCAGCCATCTGGTGTAAACACGCCATCGAGCCTCTTATCTAGTGGCAAGTAGGAAAACTAACAGCCATCGTCGGTTACGATTAATTGATAATTATACGTCAACGCTCGGCGAGAAACGAGTTCGACGTTACGATAAAGCGCGACTCTGCATACCGATCTTCGATTAAAGTTACGCCAAGCTTCTCGCAAGTACAGCCATTAAAATTACTCGAATCCTCGAGGACCACTGGTACACGTTTCACGAAAAATTATTTGAAAAATTGTTACACGAACTAAGCAGTCTCTGCCATTTTCAGTGAGAATTATTTCTATCCTGTCATTGTTAAAGGGGGGGAATCTTGAACCTACGTTATTTTCGTCTAAATTTGGAGTTAATTTAGGAAACTACAAAGACACGATATCCATGCGTGTACGCATTAAATTTGGTCGAGTGGATTATTTCTGACAGTTTCAAAAACGCGGTAAAATATTTGCTAATAAACGTTGTATGTCCCGAAGAGGGTCATTTTCGATTTCTAAACAGTATTCTTGACGAAACAGTGGGAGTTTAGGCAATTGGAAGACGTTACAGGCGATCAAAGTTACTATTGTCCTATTGTTACATGTCCATAGTCATTGGAAAATACAAATGAAAGACAAGGAAACGATTGTCCGTATACGTATCCGTGCTGGACGAATAGTTTGGCGACCGAGGCAGACATAAAGATGGTAAAAAAGAGAAAGGAAATGCGCAAAGAAAATGGGATAAATTTGGGAGAAAGATGGACTCACCGGTGGCAGATTGCGTCTGGAGCAAGAGCCCGATCAGCGAAACCAGGACGTAAGCGTTGTACCGGGGTGCCACGATACCCCGTCGCAGGGTCGTCATCTCAGGCGGCCCCCGCCAGGTGCCCCCTCGAGCTGCCGTCGCCCCTGCGACCGCCTTCGGCAGCTTTGGCTTCTTAACTTCCGCCTTCGCTCCCGCCAGCTCCACGCCGCGTAGTCCTCGTGCTTCACATCTCATCTGCCACGCCGCTGTCTCTTCTTCCCCGTTCGGTGGCGACCGTGTTTTTCCCCGAATCTCGTCCGGAACGTTTTACCACGTATCGGGCCGCCACCACCTCCACCTCGTCGGCCACCTCGTCATTTAACACACCGTTTCGCTGAAACGTTCGATCGTTTACGCGCACGATTCCCCAGGCGAGCGCGCGAGTCGTGTGCCGGCTCCTTTCCAACCGACCGGGCCACTCTATCGCCTACTTCTTGTACCTCTCGTACGTATATACACGCATATACATATATACGAATATATATATACATACATATATGTGTAGAGGCGCGTGTACGGAAACGCGTATTCGGATTATCTCGCGGACGTGGCCCGGAGGGACCGCCAAGTGGCGCGTATTGTCACCGAGCAGAACTCGAACTCTGGAAGCCCTGCAGGACAGAGAGACTATATATGCCTCTTATCCTCTATCGTCTATCGTCCTCCCATCTGCCTATCGCGACGCGAAATTCGGTTACGGAGCCGGGCCGCGCCGGCCCGTTCCACGTCCGAACCGGGCTGAATCGGTGTCACGCGACTATAAGGACGCGCACAGCCGGTGCTGCCACGCGAGATCGCACGCGAAGAATAACGCTCGCATTTCCGCGAGAAAGTTTCACGCCGTGGAGACAGCGTCAGCCTGACGCGACGCACCGTGTATGTGTCCGGCTGTCAAGAACCATCCGGAGTCCCGCGCCCAATTCTTCCTCCTATCTCTCTCTCTCTCTCTCTCTCTTCTCTGCTTCTCGCAGTGTGTACGTATGTCTTTCTCTATTTTCGCCCGTTTCTTTTGCACCGTCTCTGTAAAGCAGGTAACGGACGACGGTGACGAAAACGACGGCGGAGAAGGAGGTTTGGAAGCGACGATTGGACGACGAGACGAGAAAGCCGATGAACGGAACAGGGACGAGAACGAGATCTCACTGCGTGTCGGATGGATGTGGCGGGGTCTACGAGAAGAGAGAACCGGCTAGCCAAGGGACCGTCCTTTCCCGTTCTCGGGTGGAATATGAAACGAGGCGCGTCGAATCGCGGCGTGTCCCCGGTGAAATTTCACGTGCGGCGAACGCGAGTCCGAGAGAAGAGAAACTGTGCAACGGGCGAAAGAGGCACGCGACGAGAGCGAGAGACAGGGCCCGTGCCGGATCACGTGCCCGGCGAAGGAAACTCACTGAACTATCACACCATCCACGAGGAGAAGCACGGCGCGAGCGAGAGGGGGGAAAAGGGCTGGTCTGGTGGAAGCCGAGGAATCGATTCGAAACACCTGTAGAAGAGCGACGTGTTTCCGTTCCGTTTCGTTCCGGCGAGCGGTACCCAGGCCCGAGAGCAGCGGCTTGTGTCCTGTCCTGTCACCGTGCACCACCACCACCACCACCACCACCACCACGGCGTACTTTCTCGAGCTCCGTCTTCGTCTTTTTCTCCTCTTCTCTTCTTTTCTTCCTCCTTTTATCTCTAGCCGTGGCGTCGCGCCGCGTCGCGTCGCGTCACGTCGCGTCGCGTCGCGTGGTCGCGGATCTTCGGGATCGGCGAGATTCAGAACGCGCGCGTCTTCCGCTTCCGAAGCGAGCACGATCGTCTCATGCTGGCGTTAATCGCGACTCGCGTCACAACGATGCACCACCCGCACCATGTACCGTCATCCTCTAACAACGTTTCTCACCCTTGTTCGTCCACCCCCGGCTTTTCGCGCGACTCGGGTGAAAATGGTCGCGAACGCGAGAGCATTCACGACGACGGGTGGCACGTGGACGCGACGAGCAAGCGGAGAGAAACGCGCGATCGGGGGTCTCTCGCGGCTGTGGCCAGCCGTCAACGATTCGCGCGGCGAACGGAGAGCCGGTCTCTCCTCGACCTGCCTCACTCACGGATCCTCGTCGATCGTCCGGCGAGGAGTGACGACGAGCACCACTCGATTTCCGAGCCGATGCTTTCGGCGGCGCGGAGCAACGACGACGGCTGACTCGCGAGTTGGCTCGTTCGTTCGCTCGCTCGCTTGCTCGCTCGCTCGCTCGCTCGCACGCTCGTTTGCTCGTCTAGCCCGTTCCTTCGTAATCGTTCGCTCGACCGTTCCGCCTCGAGAACGAGCGCGGGTAGTTTCGTGGCGCGCGGATTCGTCGGATGGAAACCAAGCGCGCACGAGGCCGCCCGGCAGACTGAGAGTAGCAGTCGACAGTCGACAGTCGGCAGGCAGCAGCGGCAGCAGCAGCAGCAGCAGCAGCAGCAGCCAGCAGCAGCAGCTAGTAGCAGCCAGCAGCAGCAGCAGCAGCGGTACAAGGCGGAACGTTTGCCCGTGTGCCGAGCGAAGCTCTGCAAAAGCGGTCTGCACACGCGGCCGCGCTGTGTTATGTTGTCCCCACTTCCCTTCTTCGAGCGCGCGATCGCGGCTGCGGCTGCGGCAGCGGCTCGCCTATCTGCCTGTATGCCTCTATGCCTTGCCTGCCTCCTCTATGTCTGCCTGTATGCCTGCCTGTTTGTCCGCCTGCCTGTCTCATGCATGCATGCATGCATGCATGTTCGCCTCCTTCTCCGCCGACAGCCTCCTCCTTCTACTACCACGCTCCTTCTCCTCCTACTCCTACTCCTCTTCCTTCTTTTCTCCTTCTTTTCTCCTTCGTTTCTCCTTCTCCTCCTACTTCCAAGTCCTCCTGCCCTTCACCGGCCCCGCACGCTCCCTTCCTTCCTTCCTCCGAGCCTTCTTTCCACTCTTCGCGCCGCTCCTCCTACGCTTTCCTTCTTCCACCTTTCCGTCTCTCTTTCTCTTCCTCCTTCTCTGCCTCTTCCTCTTCTTCCGCCAACGGTACGTCGAGAAAGGAGACGCTCTCCTTTCTCCTTCTCCTTCTCCTTCTCCTCCTCCTCCTCCACCTCCTCCTTCCTCGTCCGCCTTACTTACGCCTCGCGTACTCCTCTCTCCTTCGTCCTTTCTTCCTCCTCCTCCTCCTCCTCCTCCGCGGTCCGTCGCTTTTTCGTCCTTCCGTTTCTTCTTCCTCGGCGTCCCGACGCGCCCCTTTGTCGGGCCCGGCTGTCGAGCTTCGCCGTCCGCGATACCCCTCTCGCCGTGCCGGTTCACTTCCGGTATTCGTTTCTCCACGGGCCGCGGAAAGCGCGTGCACACGCCGCGGGAGATTCGATTCGTGCACGGCCGGAGGAGGACGAGGAGGATCCGAGACGAGGTCCCACCGAGCCGTCCGGATATTTTTTGCCCGTTCCGCGATATTTATAGTACAGCCGCGTTTCTGTTTGTTTCGGATGCATAAATTGTGTAAGGCCTTCTTTTTCGTCGGCCCAACCGCCGGGGAGTGGGGGTGGCCCGGCGGCCGGGGTGGGGAAATAAAAAGAAAAGTAGCCGAGAGTGTCTTCTTTGTTCCCTCGTCGAGGGTCGTTAACTCTCGTCCCTCCGATGACGGATTTTTCGCATTCTTTTTGCGTCGCGCGGAGAGGGGACGAAATTGCAAGTGCAACGAAAGACGATCTCTCGCGTCGAAGCGTAAATCGAGAGTACGGAATAAACGGCTCTCCTTCGAAATTCTTTTCGCGAGAAATACTCCGCCGTTTTTCTTTTTACTTTCCCCCCTCTGCTTCTTTTATTTTCGCCTCCTCTCTCCCATTTTTCACCCTTTCTGCCGCGCGAGCTGCGAGAATGCATCGTGGATGCATTCGATTATTACTGTCGCGAGACATCCGGCACTGCCAGCGAATTAATAATTATTTAGATATTTCAACGAGACACTTGGAAGATTCTTTGTACGATTCTTCCACCGTCTTGTGGAACCCTCTGCACTCGAGAAATGATACAAACTCGATTTTATTTTATTTAAATACCGGGTCTACGTTCTGATCGGGGATACGCATTTCTCGCCAATTCCACTTAAAAACTTCCCTTCCGTTAAAATTACGAATTTACCGATTAAAATCACCCGTTAGAATGTCCGTTTAGAAGGGTTAATTTGTTTCGACAAATTATCGATACAGGGGGTAATAAAAGATGCAAACCCGCGAGACCTTGCATTTTTATCGAACCTGCGAAGATAAGTCGATTCAAAATTCGACGATAGAGAAACGACGATTTCAGTATTCGTCGTTTTTTAACCACTCGCGGTGGCAAGAAATTCACAGACACGTGTGCCAGAGAGGTTCAGTGTTTCCGTAACAGTTGCCTAACAACGTGTGTACCACGTCGTTGACGATTCTGTGATAAAAGCATTACGACGTGCGTGACACGTCCGTCCAGCGCAAGTGGTTAAATTACTCTCGAAGGATTAATATATAAAACATACGCGCAAAAGTACAGTAACTAAACTTCTCGATTTTCCGATCTTCCTTTGCGTCAGAAATCTCGTCGACACTAAAATCGCGGAATTTCGTCCTCCTCGTATTCACCTGTTACGTTAACTCTCGAATTCTCCGATGGAAAGGGACCCCGGGAAGGAAGAAATAAATAAACGATTGTCCGCACTGTAGATTACTCGATTTTCCTAGAATCTCGCTGTTGCACGCTCGGATCGAGACGTTTTTCCCGAGAAGCAAATGGCAATAATGGCACCGGGGAGACAATAGACGCCGACGATCGAAATCGCGTTTCTCCTTTCACTCGTTTCGGTGTCGCTTCTTCGGTTTCCGTTTCCTCGTCGCACTCCGTGCTCCATTCCGTCTTCTTCTTCCTCCTCCGCCACGTGTAACGGTTTAATGACGGTTATTAGTGACTTTTACCGTGGATTATCCCGTAGCCTGCAAATAAAACCGCGCCAGTTGTCGAGTTTTTGGTCGCACTTGGTCAGGCAGCCTCGGATCCTCCGATTTCAGCGGCCCGTCCCCGATTTTGCACCCGATCTTTCCTTCACGATCTTGAGATTCGTTTCTCGTTAAGGAATATCAAAATTTTTGCGAATTTAGTACGGTAAAATCGACGTATAATTTATAATTACTCGTAACGATTACAAACATTTTGAAACCATCGAGATAAATGATTGAAATTTCACTTTCTTTGCGAGAGTATTATATTCACCATGGTCTCGTAGCCGCGTGCGAATATCCGCGAGTTCGATGCCGTCGCGAATGCGGCAAAGATCGCGACACTGTGTCAACCGCAACACGATCAAACGTATCGAAGAGAGCGTACTCGAAGAAGCACAAATGATCCCGCGATTTACCTTCCCTCCGTCATTACCATCCGCGAGACATAAAAAGTTACTTCTCACCGGCGACACCGTGCATGTTTCTACCCCCATAAAAGGA